GAGGTGCACTCTGTGTCACGCTTCTCTGAATTAGTTATGTGTGTGCAGGTTGATTTCCTCCACTGGACTATAAGCTCCTTGAGGACAAAATCTGTGTCTTATTTAAATGTACCCTTTCTACCAATATTTACAATAGCAACAGACCCCTGAAAAGCAGAGCAATGGCAACAACTATGCACATAGCGGTTCTCCACATTTGTTCAGCAAACTTTAGGTGTAACACAGAAGTTGAAACTGGGTTTCTCAGAGGTGGGCATAGCTCAGCAGCAGTCTCTTTCTTCTCCCCAGCCCATGACACCCGAACCAGCCTGGTGTGGTTCTGAACCCAGCACAGCTGTCTCTGCTTTGCATTTGCTCATCTGTCAGGGGCCTGAACCACAAGCCAGAAAAACCCTCCATTTATTTGTATCTACCACCCCAATTTAAGTCAGGTGCCCTTTCCCCGGGCAGTCTGAAGATGGGGGGCTGACTCTACCAGTAAGAGCAGGTATTAGATAGCAAAACCCACTCCACCAGAAATACTTGGTTGCCTCTCAGCAACTTTTGTTTTGTAACAGCCCCTTCTTCTGTTGAAATATATGCATCCCCTTTAGCCCTTTCCCGGTGTGTTAAGATCTGATTTTACTTCATTATCAGTCCTTAAAGGCGCTGCCAAACTAGACTGAGTTCTCCTCTTAAAATCCTAGACCACTTGCGAACCTTTACAAGTAACACAGAGGTGCCTAGAAGATTGATCGCTCTTCCATAACCAAATTAGAGGTCACACTTTTCAAAGAATGGATTCGATTGTCTAATAAAATCTTACAGTAAAAGCCAATGATGTTTAATTGCCCAGGGGTGTGTCCAGACACTTCTTCTGATAAGACGTCTGCTAAAAGCTGGAAACAATTTTGCATCTTTTCCCTCAAGCCTTTCTCCACACAAAAACGCAAATTAGATCACAGTAGACTCTCCTCCTTGAAACACGTCAACGCTCCGTATGCCCCGTAGAATAAAGCCAGAACGCCGCGGTGCGTTATATAAAGATCAGAGACACACATGCTGA